GTTGTTGTTGGGAGTCGATATCCTCAAACCTCAATTTCGGGCGGTTCATTGAGTCTAAAGCCAGGGTAGCTGCAAGGAAATTAGGCGTCCTTGCAAAGGTGCGACGGTACTTCACACCGGGACAGCTTCTTGCTCTATACAAGGCTCAAGTCCGATCGTGTGTGGAGTACTGTTGCCATATCTGGGCTGGGGCTGCAAAATGCCATCTGGCTGCCTTGGACTCAATGGAGAGGCGTGCGGAAAGGCTCATTGGTGACCATAACTTGGTTAAAACCAATCTCACTAGCCTTGATCACTGGCGCAGAGTAGCCAGCCTCTCGGTTTTCTACAGGATACATTTTAGAGAGTGTGCATTGGAGTTGCATGATCTTATTCCTCCCGCCCCTTTCCATCATCGGACAACCAGGCATACGGCGGGGCTCCACCCTTATGCTGTCGACGTTCCACGTACACGAACAAAGCGATTCGCTTCTTCATTTATCATCCGTACAGCCAAGGAATGGAATAACCTGCCGGCGTCCGTCTTTCCGTCCGATTACAACGTAGGCGTCTTCAAGGCAAGAGTGAATAGGTTTTTACTGAGCTAGCGCGCTTACCATCAACGGCTGCATCGCCGCTTACCATCAAGTGGGATGGCAGTCAAGTGCAGGCCAGTCTTGAATTAAAAAAAATGAACACGATAATCGTTGTCGCAATGTCGGTATTTTTATCGTCGGTGTACTCCAACCTATCTGTTGGATCTAGCATCCATTCTAGCATAGAATGGCATACGAGCGGACACGCCATATTAACGTAGCAACTCGTTTGGGCTGCATGATCCCGGGCTCCGGGACATTTGTTAGCGATTGCAGGTCTTCGCAGTCCCCCCATCCCAATCGAGACGTTCGCAACAACATCTCGTAGTCACGAGACTCAGAAACCATTCGCCCGACGTCGGCACGTGTTTCGACAACGGGTTATTTTTATGGGATTGTGAGTTAGGCACTTTGAAAATTTGGAATTGATTTTATTAACCACAACAAATAACTCGGTCGCATGGTTCACGTTTTTTGGATTGTTTTAAGCGACGAGGAAAGAGGAAACTGAAATGTTTCTACATTAAAAAGGCGGTTGCAACTTTGCACATAAAAACTTTTACACGTGGTAGAAAGCAAAATTATTTTCCCAAGTTGGCTTAGATGCGATTACAATCCTTGACACAATCTAGATAAGGCGTAAGTCGCTGAAATATTTATATTAAGTACAATTTATGCAAAACGAATCGACCTCGGAACCACTTTTTGATTTACAAATCGTTCGGTTCTAAACTTTTTTAACTTGCAAACCATCCACTTCATTAAATCAATAGGAGCTGATTTCAGAGCTTTAAGAAAATAATAGAACACAGTATCTAGTTCGTTTTTTAACAACAGAAAATCCAGGAAGATTATCTAATAAGTTCATCTTCATGGAGAAACTTGTGGTATTTAACAAATTCAGCGCCATCTAGCGGATTAGTGCGTAAGTGTTACTTACGGGCAGAAATAAAATATGATAATCAGTTTAATTATTTTACGTGAGCTATGTACCATAAACTGTTTTCTTTCCTTTCCTTACGGATTTTTCTTCAAAACGCACAACATTTTTAACGGACTAGGCAGTATATTATTATTTTATCCAATTATTGCTGTGTAATGCGTGTGCTAATGTTTTTACCAATAAACTAAAAATATTGGGAAAGATAGGAAACTTATAATTGGCTAAGCACTACAAATTAATGTTCTAACACTAGAAGTATGTAAGTAGCGGTAGTATAGATATGACACAGACTTTGTGACGAACATTGTATTATAAAAAAATATGCTATTTAGATCCTATGAATATGAATAAGATACATCTAAAGCATGTGAAGCGCTAGCGACGGAAGTAACTATGTATAAAATATAACACAGTGTGTCTGTGTGCAATAATAAATGTCTTATTAGCTGTGTGTGAGTTTTTCTATTGTTTGCGTGAATGACGCAGGTTTATAAATTGCGAATGGACCAGTTATTCATAAGCTGCGGCCCCGCTCGGTACTTACGTATACGTTTCTACCGCAAATTTAGAATAACAAATAAATTTAGAATTAAAACATCAATGCACAAAATATTTGGAAAATTTTAAGTATTGAAATTATGTTTACGTATTGAATAATGTTAAGATATAATATAAATAGAATTTGAAATAGACAATTAATTCGTATCTGATTGTTAGCTTTCATTCTCATTTATGCATTAGATTAACAAAATAGATTCTAATGAAAAAAGCGCCATCTCTCGGCGACATGATGCAACTCTAGCCGTTTATACAAATAAGGACGCGAGCCAAACAAACCTTTTATTCAGCAATTGATATGAACGCAATTGAACTCGCGTGTACGTCAATGAATTTTTGTGTTTACTAGCAGTCCAGTGCATTGTCACTGCTACAAAAACTGCTGTCTTTTACGCGCCGTTTTGTTTCTAGGTTAATCTTAGACCTGATATGTAAAAGTCATACGTATGACCTTCAACCGCGTTTGCGTCTAAAACTCCTCGTACAAAAACTAAATGCCCTTTATCGCGCGTGGTTATATCCCCGTTACCGTGACCTTGCCTATTTGTTTTGTTTCGGAGACGTCAGTGCCGACTGACGGTGTGCGACTTTCTTAGGCTGATAGGAATATTTTTGGTAATTAATTTACAGTTATTAACTCCAATAACTGTAAATGTTATTATTTCTCTTTTGGCTCGTTTAATAAAAATAATGAGAGTAAAATTTTTACGAAGCGCGTGATGATGTTTGTTGGTATGGATATTAATAACAACTTTTAAACATCTATCTATAACTCCAAATTATTTAAATCGTAATGAATAGCGTTTAATGTATTTTTCACAAACAAAGAGTACCGGCACAGAAGATAAATTTTTTTTGTTATTTTTTTTTTTGTTAACTACTTACTAAGTTTACTAGCAAAGATGTCAGTTTCCACTTAATCATATATCCCTATTTACGAAATAATGAAAACCGTTACAAAATTTAGAAATATCGATAAACCTAGACTGCCTACCCATTTATGTTTGTCAATCGTCGCTGATTGGATTTACTCGATTTATGGATTTTATTTGTCATAAAGGATGCGATTGGCAGTGAAAACAAATTACGCTAATTCTATTTCCAGATGTGCAACGCAAATGATAAAGTGGTATCAAAGAGTAGATGACGAAATGATTCACAAAGCAGGGTTAAAACTGTATCTGAAGGGATTCAAATACGTGCTGGAATTTAAGACACATGTCTTATATGCACATATACATATATATATATATAGATATACAGGTGCATGCATGCAGAGATACTTTTATGGTTCCGTACCCAAACGGTAGAACGGGACTAAGACACCGTTGTTTGTCTGTCTGTCTTTCCGTCTGTCACCAGGCTGTAACTCATGCACCGTGATAGTTTGACAGTTGAAATTTTCACATATGATGTATTTCTGTTGCCGCTATGACAACAAATACTATAAAAAACAGAATAAATAATATTTAAGTGGGACTCCCATACAACAGACACGTTTTTATGCCGGTTACATATATAATGGTACGGTAACCTTCGTGCGCGAGTCCAACTCGCACTTGGCCGGATTTTTTTTCGATAGAGCCTCCCAGCAGCTTCTTTTAACAGAAGACCTTCGTGAAACAGAGTTTTTATTACTTTTACTTATCGTCTACGATAGATACTATCGACACGAGGCGAGGATTCCTCATTTTAGGTTGTTCAGATGTGTAACGCATCTGCAAGCTTAGGTTATTGACGTGCTTGGTCAATGGATATCACCTAGCATAACGTGAAGAACTGGGCCCCATTCACCAGAATTCGGTTGCATGGCACTTTATTAAAAACTAACTTTTAGTATAAAAATGTTACAAATTTTGCGAAATTACATTTCAAGTCGTAAAAAGGTCTATACATCTAAAGATGCGGGGAATTCTAAGACCTTAATATTTTAGCCCAGCAGTAATATTAGGAATTCTTATAAAACCAAGAACATTTGAGTATTTTGTGTCTTTGTATTGTTTCTTTTTTATATTGAAAACCCACCATTGATATTTGACTCATAAAATACAAATTAATATTTATTTCCTTTGCCATATAACAAAGAAAAAAAAATATAAACCAATATGTGCGTTCCAAAATTATGTATTCTAGTATGATTATTTCTCATAAAATAGTTATAATGTCAAGATAGATTAAAGCTTCGCTTTTAATTGCTATAAAACTATTAAATAAAAAATAAAAATAATAGTCCCACGTGATCGTCGGCACAGACAAATTAATTGGAGTTTCAATTTATTAAATTTGCTAGACTGTTGTATAAGTCAATCAAATGGCTATCCGATGTGAAATATCATAAGATTGTTTTGAAACCTAATAATTTACGTTTAAATTTGATTCAAAGACGTTTAAACATTAATTATTTTTTTCTACCAAACGAGATAAAAAAATTACTTTTTGTTCGACCTTGAAAATAATTATTAAAATTTAATGTTATTTTTAAATATAAATTGGTAGAGACTAGTTAGAGGTTTAATATAAGTACTAAGTATGCCAATACTACTACGATTTGCTACGAATTTCTGTGAATGATTTTTTCGACGCGGGACCTTATGGTACAGGGTACCTTCTGAATTGCTCAAGAGATGGTCTGCTAAAACCTTAAGCATGCACTGCGCATCCGCCACGGTATACGCATGTGATTGTTTTTATTTATCAATGCGACCTTGCAACTAGCAGCGATACGGTTTCAACGGCTTCCGAGCTAACGATGGCACGTGTTCGTAGAGCTATTATTTCTAAACTGGCCAATAGCAAGTAAAATTCAAGATCCATTACTGAAAATACATAGATTCATAGTCGTCTATAAGCGAGGTTTTTTTAAATATTTGAACTGTCGTAGGAAGTGGAAATAATCTAGCGCGAGTTTCGTGAAACGGGGTTTAAAACAAACAATGTACACAGCAATAGAAAGGCTCCAAGATAATAATGAAGATCAAGGCCGAGCCGGAAGGTTTGCACTGTGGTAGAGCTGCTGCACCATCCAGGACCTGGCTTTGAAGAGTACCTGAGTAGTGGCAGCAAGAGGGCACGCGATACGGCATCGGCGGCAGCGGAGCAGGCGGAGACAGGAACAGGCGATCCGAAGAGTCTGGAGTGCAGTACCCGGCGAGGTCCCATGGGGGCCTCGAGGAGTCGGTGCCCATGTCGATGTAGCCGTGGCGGTCCAACGGGCGCACTGACCAGCATCGCGGGCGCGCGAGGCCGGTATCGAATTGTGCGAACTCAATGGTGGCGGCGCTAACACAACCGATCCCGAGGAGACCTAAGGCGGGATTGAGGGAACTACGAGCTGAGAGTATAGCACAATCGGAGCAACGTGCGACTGCCGGCACGCTCGCTCGCAACGTGCACGCCGCCAGCCACGTGCTGGGCTGGACCCCCCCCCCCCCCCCCGGCGCGGCTCACTCCCCTGCCCCGCCTCACCTGCCTCTCAAGCCTGTCTTCGCGGGAGCCAAGCGAAAATCGACCTACGACACTACTCGCCATCGCCCGAAGACTGAAATCATGAAGCTTGCAGACAGACCCTTACGCTCTACTCGACGGGGAGGAAAAGGAAATATTTGATACGCATATTTGTGTGGAATATTTTCTTCCTTTACGTAATTAAAGTATTTACGAGATACAAATTGACAAAAATAGCCTAGACATCGATATCATTATTTACATTACAGACGCTGCAATAACAATGATTCATACCATTAATTTTCTTACATGATCCCTTTAGCGAACCAAGAAAGTGCGTGGGAGATAAAAGTGAAGTTCTCGCTATACTTATATAAATTGAGAACGACATCGTAACGTTTAAGACTCAGACGCTCTACCATATTATTGTAGTAAACCTAAAAATTTAATTAGATTAATTGATTAAATGAGGAGTATAATTATTAATATGCTATGAATAGGAATCAATAGACATAAAAATTGTTCTCATGATACTTAAAATACTGGCGCGAGTGAGTCCCACACACATGCATCTATCTACATACATACATATATGTGGGTTATTTCACTTGTATGTAACATATAAGTCATTTGGGGTTCAATAAAGTATGTTTGCTATTATATTTAATTTTAGATAAATTTACTCCTACATTTGCTACTATATTAATTGTGATTCTTGGAAGCAGCGTAGTACTATAAGAAAACCGAAACTTTATTTTCCTCATGTTACATAAAAGCAAAAGAGCTATTTACAAAACATTGAGGTAGGTTAAACAATCACAACGATTAGTTCAATGTTTGGTAACGTCTCAACTTTTTACAATGGCGAGAAATTAAATCCACCTCGACCTTAAATTAGTGAAGCCGTAGGCCCTTTAGTGACTCACAAAACGATATTCGCAATTGTATCGAGAAACGTTATGTCATCGGTTACATTTTCCACTGAAACAAAAATTCACGTAGACATTATCCAACTTATGGACGTAGTGTTTACGGAATATTCAAACTATTCTAGATATTATCTGAAAACGGTCAATATCATAAATAATATACATGGTTTTAGATATATATATATATATCACATGAAATAAATTGCTTTCATGCGCCACTTTTTATTTTCAAACAAGTGTGTAAGTAATCATTAAGTAATTTATTTATTTTTAAGTATAGCGATCAAACATTTACTAATTGCCAAAGGCAGCGAGATATCATAGATTGATGTCGTAGATCGTTTCGTAGCAAATCGCATGCGTAGCCACATCCCATGGACAATCTGTTTAAGCAATTTCGTAACGATCGTTTCATGGAAGCGACTTTTGACTGAACAAAAGCTTTTTAGTGGGCTTTACCAAGTTCATTTTTCTTGGTATTTGCTATTGAGATTCGTCTGATTCTTTTATTGTTTGTTAGTAACTTGCGTTATGACGCAAGTAATCTTTGTTGATTAATAATTTATTGAGATGACAAAGATTACTTACAAACAAACAAAATGCGAATTTAGTGTTTCGTCGTGTAATTTTGGGGTTTTTTTTTTAAATAGTTTCAAAATCTTAGTGAATTTTGGTAGCCTTTTGTCTTCGTTAAGCTGCGTAGCAGTCCTGTGACGTAAGTTCATAATTTTGTGAACAATGGAATATCTTACAGCTTATAATATATAAAGGATGTTTGGATGACTCGGTTACATTTTTATGTGAAAAGGTGATATAATATACACACCATACAGAGTAAAAAGTAACAACATATACCTAGTTTCAATTTACGACGATCTACGCTGAGGCGACTACAATGCCCGTGATTGTGACATACATATATTGTGCAGTATATCCGGATGTCTTTCTGTCTGTTATTATACGTAATGCGATTTATTTTGCACCGGAATATTTTTCAATTGATATTTGCGAATACCATGTCGCTTCTTTGACCGTATAAGCGAAAATATTCTAAAACCAGGAATAAAATCAGAAATAAGAAAAGATATTTATTCTAGGCAAACTATAAGCGAATAAAACATATTCAAGTTAATTAATTGGATAATAATTCCCTTCGTTTCGATGTCTGTAGCAAGCATGTCGAAATTAAATCTCTACATATTTCAGTTCATAATCAATCATCTTATGGTCAAAGCTTCGTTCGCCCTTCAAGGTATAACTTGATCAGGTGTTGTTTTATATCATTATTTGAATCTCAGACCAATAAAAACTATAGACATTGCTTTTTATTGGTCCGCTCCTATAAGTAAAGCACATAATATGAAGATGATTCGATTATATGAAGACGGCCGCTCAGCTGTCTGTTGACAGTTGCATGACAGCAGATAGGTAATTTGAATAGAGACTCATATTCGGCCACTTACCTACTTCAGCTGTCTCCAATGCCGCCCCGGTCTGATCGAGGTCTACACAAGTAACCCAAACGAAGGCTTAGCTTCTTTCCCACGAGATCAAAGTCAAGCCATCGATTATCTTGCCATCGTCGTGAAAAATGCCACAGGGCTCTAATATAGAAGGTAAATTTATGAAACAAGGGTCCCACGGATGGTGGTTCAGGGGACCGTGGCGGGAAAAACGACCAGCACTATCGACGAGAAAGCTCGTGGAGAACATATTTATCTAGAGACCATAACGGAATCCTACAGTAACGCGTAAGCTTTCGTCGTCAAGTAATGTTACTTGATGGTGAATCGTGAACCCAATAATTCGATTCTTTATATGCGACGCCTAAAACAATGGCGAAAGATGGAAACAGCTTTCTGTACCATCTACACATACATAGCATCAGCGTCGAAGGAATATCTCACTGTTTTTGTTGATTAACTTTCAGTGGAAAATTTTCTTTTGTGGAGATAGTAGTTTTAATAAAATAAGTTCGGATGTTGCAAATGTCGATGGGCGGCGGCTATAACTTAACATCAGATAACTGCCAGCTCGCGTGCCACCTTATCACATAAAAAAACTTAGAAGAATTAGTTGAAATCTATCCAGTAGTTTTTTTGCTCTATCATTTTATTTATATACATATATAAAAGGTAGGAGGGCTGATTGTTTGATGCCAGAATTGTGTTTCAAAGACGTTTTTTTATTTAGTGACGTCTGCCCTAGTCTATAGACTAACATAAAGCTTATTCGGGCACAAAGTTCATGAACAGGCTAGTTTTTAACGCGCTTGATAGAGACTATTGTGGTAGAGTTTCGTATGAGGACAGGTGTGCATGAACAAAATTGACTACGAACGGTCGCAGGATGTGGGCCGTGATACAGGGTGCTCTTGACTGATTTGTTCTTTGGCTCGGAGAGACCAGTACCCCTAACTTCCGAGGCCTCTATTCCAAAACAAGTACATGCTTCAGACAGTTATTATTTTGTTTATGTCGGACATCTGCTCGACCTACGATATCTGCTGACCTTTTCGAGGCGTGCAATCCGTTTTTTTGTCGAACGAAGATATTATGCATAATGTTTGGCCTCTAGGTTCTTAATAGTATTTAAATTGTATTAAATATATCTATGGTCTTTAAATTCACATTATGCTTTTAATAATTTCGATATCGATGTCTTAAAAAGTAAGACTGAACTTAATTAACTTCACATCGGTCATTGGTTTAAAAAACCAACGTTTATTATTTTTTACACAACTATTTACAGGTGAAGTTGAAAATTAAATCGGATTTTTTTTTCCTTATAATAGCTTTTATACAAAAGCTCCAAAGCAACACTAAAAAAATAACATATAGGGTAATTGGTTATTGGTATCGAAGTAATTGATTCGCAAATTATCAGATTAGATAACCAACGATGAACCTTTACCTGATGATTTGAATATTTCCGTAGCTTTATCTTATATACTTAGGCGTCATCTTCTAAGTCGGGATCTTCCCAAAACCCAAAGAAACTCCAATCGATCTTGGATTAAAATTTACATCAAATTTACATTAATCGCATAACACTTCGAATTTCATTCGTGTAAGATGTTCGGATTTGTTAAGCGATATGCCACTTAAAGTTCTACATACAAAATTTGTCCTGTATGACGCTACCTTGCGCTGCTCTCTGGAATATGCTACTTATGCTAGCGTTAATTGCACCCTTTTAACGGTGTAGAATCGCAAAAAGGGGGTAGCATTCATGTGAATTATGAGCGTTTTCGTCTTCTTCTTTCAATAAAATTCTATAGCTAAATTATTTACTATATTAGAAGCTCAGACCAAGAAAAATATAGATGGGAACGTCGTTAATAATCGCAACTCGGTGTAAGAGATCGGGAGATTTGCGCATGTGTGCTGTAGAATTGGAATATGTTAGCAGTAGAACAAAGGTAAGCGACATAGCTCAGAAGATTAGTAAGTGACGATTGGTCGGCCATATAGCTCATAGAACCGATAGCCGATGGGGAAGAAAGGTTTTTGAGTGGCAGCCTCGTACTCGAGGCTATAGCAGTGTAGGACGTTCCTCCACTAAATGAAGCGACGACCTGTGCAAATGTGCGGGAAGTCGATGGATATAGGTCCTACACGTTAAAATGGATAGTCCGGTACCATCTTTACATTGAAAAATTAAATGTTAGTATTCTGGTAACAATAGTAATGCTTTAATGATTCCTAGGCAATATCTCAAGTTACCAATTGATATGTTGCGATATGTGGCTGAGCATGACAGAGTTTTTTGTAATGTATTTAATATCCATACACCATGTTTTAACAAATAAAATTCATATTAACTTTTGGGTAAAGATAATATTGTTATCACTTGCAACACTATTACAAGAGCGTCTAGAATTCGTGTTCTCAGGAATTGTCTCGAATATTTTTACGACTTTGTTTAAATTATTACAGAAAATCGGTTCTTTACATGTGAAAGTGATCCCAAAACCATTTTTTCTAAATATCAATTGTTTTTGAAGCCGATTATAACACGGGATGGTATAATTCCGCGATTGTTATTTTATTAAAACTTGAACTTAACTTGCCACCTTTTATTAAAGTAGACTCCTTTACCTCACTCACCAGATGAAACGCAGAAGTATAAAACTTCCACTTCACGCTAGATGAG